CGTGTCAGTGGGGATTGATAACTGCAAAGCAGGGTCTGTGCCCACTCACTTGGAAAGCTGGTATTAACTACAGCCTTGGTTGGGAAGGAGGCTTCTAGTTTTATTTTTTTCCTAATAATTTCAAAGTCATAATTGAATATTTCAGGCCTGTGTTTAGACTTTGGCATTTTAGCCAAAATGGGCTGTGATGAATGGGAGAGAGGAGGAAACATAGAAATTTGTTTCTTTTCCTTGAAAACACATGGTGACACAGAAAGGTCCAGGTGAGAAATGTGCTTCATCAGCCTCTCTCAGACTGCACTGAATGCATATCTCAGTTTCACCGTGCCTGCCCTGGGTGCAAAGTGCTTCTGTGGACACCTGAAACTGAAGTTTCCCTGCTGACCACTACTGGGAATGGGTTGGGAACCCAAATATGAGCCAAAGCAGAAGCGTTCAGAGCTTGGCGTGCTGCTCATGCATGGGACAGCAGCAGGAGCAGAGCTGAGGGCCGTGTGGCCCCAGTGTGCCCACAGCACTGCTGAGCATCCTTCCAGCAGTAGCTGAGCGGTGTACTTTAATTAGAGCCAGAGTAAATTACATCAGACTACGAGAGCCTGACTTTTTCACAACGGCTTGGGGAAAATGGAAAGACTAGCATTTTCAATTTAAGGTTTAGTTAGATAATGCCTGTTGGTGCCAGTAGATTACAGAGTGGATATTAAATCCTCCAGGATTTGCAATGGGGGAGTACTCGCAGAATCCATAAGTAGGCAGACAGCATGGCTATGGAGCTGTCGTCCCCTGGAGGTCCCGAGTGGGAAGAGAAAACGTGAAGTAAATCTTGGCTTTGAAGGAGGCTGGGCGTAAAGAGCACACATATGCAAGCTGTGGCCTTTAAAGGTTTCCCTGTTACGAAGCTTTCTTGCTTCTGACAGCAGGCAAATGGCACGTGAAAAGGTAATGGGGTCTGTCAGACTGCTGGAGCGGGGAATTCGGGGCAGCACCGAGTGCTAATGTGCATCGATGGAGCTGGAGCCAGGCTTCCACCAAGGGTCCCAAAAGAAACAGAACTCAGCACAGCCCTGCAAAGCATTTTGCTGCAGGAAACGCTCTGCAGGTCCACAGCCTGAGGACCGCAAACGCTTTACCTATAGCTCAGATCCCAACAGTGGCACTTCCAACACCTATCGCTGGCGTGAGCATCCCAATAGTTCCACTAAGAGCACGTCCCTGTGTTTTATGCCTGCTAATTTGCAAATTCGAGCACTTTATTTCTGTGTTATCTTTGTGCAAAGGACTGGCAAATTTATGCCGCAGAAGTATTGCGAAAGCATAAAGGTTCACAAGCGATTAGATTTTATTATTCTTGTTTATGCTGCTGAAGAATTGTTCATTTTAAAACTTTATAGTCAATATGTGTGAAGATAAAACAGTGGTCTGTCTTGCTCCAGTGACAGAAGTCAAATGATTAAGTGAAGGGAATGAATTATTAAAGCAGATCAGCTTTTGGAGCTGCTTGCTTGGATTCCTAGCTGGCTATTGCAGCCAATTTACACCCAAACAGAGGGGCTGACCTTGTGCTATTTACTTTTCTGTGCACTGGCACAGATCATTCATCATTCTAGCTCAGAATTACCTGTGTGCTAGTAAACTTCAGCATAAATTTGTTCTTTTACTGGTGTGAGACCTCTGTTCCCCAAGCAAACCTCGTGCACAAGCTGTGCACGATGGGGTCATGATGGAAACAAGGCTGCAGCAAGATGCTGCTCCAAAGGGCACTGTGCAATCATCCTTTCCTGAGTGCGTGGCCCCAAAGCAGCCCACTGGGCTTCTAAGATCCCCATGGCACCTCCCAGGGATCTGCTGGGGTTACAGAGCTGACCGTGACCCCAAACCCCAGGCAATGGGTGAGCAGAGCCCTGAGCACTTGACGCGCTTTCAGGCTGCAAAGCTCATTGCTGTGCACGTGGCATTGGGCTCCCTGAGCTGTCAGGTTCATTCCTGCAAGCCCCACATTGCTGCTGATGCTGCTGCTTGGGTGATCAGCTCCATTACGTTCTCCAGCATCGCAGAGTCTGAGAGCTTGTGTGTATCTTGCTCTTCTCATGCTTAAGTGGTGGAACCGAGACATTTGCAGCAATTTTAGGACAGGAAAAAGATTTCTCTTTGATTGCTTTTTAATCACAGTAATAACAGTAATGGAGGCAGTGAGTGGAATTGATGGGAAGGAGCTTAGCTCTGTTCTCTGGTAACTCCTGTGTGGGGTAAACAAGGAGGATTTACTGGCTTCAAGTGAGGCAGTAGTGCCCTCACTGCTCAGGGATGGCAGGGATGGTCTGGGGGGAGGCAGGTGGTACTCAGAACTTGGAGGGAAGTTTTCCAGGCATCTACTGAAAGCTCTGTTGTCTCTGGGGCAAACGAACAAACCTTGCCTTGATTCTGCAGCTTTAGCCCATGAGGGATTTTTCTCCTGCTTGTGAGTGAGAAAAGCCTTTGCATAAAAAAGAAATTAGAGAGGGCAGGGGGTGTCCTTGCAGAAAACAAGCTGGTGTGGTGGGTACCTGTGAGACAGCCATGCTGGGCAGACCTGCATGTCCCTATAGACATCACACCACCAGAGTGGCAGTGGAGGTAATGGCCTCAAGTTGCGCCAGGAGAGGTTCAGGTTGGATATTAGGAAACGTTTCTTGTCCAAAAGGGTGGTGCTGCACTGCACAGCTGCCCAGGGAGATGGGGGGATCATTATTCTTAAAGGTGTTCCAGAGCCATGGGGATGAGGCACTGAGGGACGTGAGCAGTGAGTTGGGTTGGGGTTGGACTTGACCATCAAAGAGGTCTTTTCCAACTGTCATGATTCTATGATTTTGAAGGGGCTTCAACTCGTTGCTACAAGCATACAAACACCAAAGACAGACACTTCGTCCTCAGGGGGGTTTTTTGTCAGACATGGAGCTTTCTCCTTTATTTCTGCAGTATGTGTTGCACACGTGAAGGGCCCGGTTTACATCAGCGTAGTCTTGTCCTGTTTGAGGAGGTGGAATTCCTCTTGCTTTGCTGATCAAGACAAACACGATAAAAACAGTTCATGCAGAATACACCTCAGCAGGAGGTCCAGCAGGGGGCAGAAGCTGTGCCCCCTCCCCTGCATCCCTGCAAGCAGGGCTGGGGAGAAGCAAGGATTGGGGGGGACCCAGCTGGAGGGGGTGAGGGGCAGATTTGTTGGTGTTGATGGATTTTATCGTGTGTGTGAGATCTGAATGAGGCCCTGGAAGTGAGGAGGGAAAGGGGAGAAAAGGATTGGGGCTGGGATTGGAGCGGGGGCAGCGGAGGGAGGGGATGCTCAGCTACCCCCAACCTGCCGTGGTCTCAGGACCACAGGGACCCATGGGCACTTGGCATCTGAGCTGTTGCCACAGCAGAGTTGTTTTAGGGCAAGCAAGAAGGGAGGGTGCTTTAATATCCAAGATTTGGAGTGGGGGCTGGGGGGAGGAGTGGAATCGTGCCCATGTTTTGGAAATTGAAAGGAGGAGGTGGAAGCTTCCACTGGAATGGGGGTGGCGATAACCAAAGTGATAACCAGGTGCCTGCTCAGGGAGAAAAAGGTCAATGAGTTGTTTCTCTTTTTTTGGGGAGGGAGGGTTGGGGGCTTCTGTTATCCTTTCTCTTGCACGTACTCAAGTCCCACAGTGTATCTCCTAGCAACTCTACCTTCTATCCCAGTTTCTCCTTCCTCCTGTCCTTCCTCACCACGCTACCTCCTTTCCCTCTGGTCATTAAAAAAAAAAAAGTAATAATAAAGTAAAAAAAAAAAAAAAAAATCAGAAAGAAACAATGTAAGTGTAACATAGGTGCCATTCAAGTATTCTGGAGCAACCAGCTTTCAGCCTCTGTTTCATCCGAGGGATGGGGTTAGGAAGCAGCGAGCATCATTGCACAGAGATTAGCAAATCAGTAGTTTTCAGGGAGAGATGGGTGAGAGCTGTCTCAGCCAGGTGCTGCAAGCTTTCAGGGGTAGGAAAGGCAGGGAGGAGCCGTTCCAGAGACATTTGGACAGAGCAGACCGTGCAAAGCAGCTGTCAGCTCTTGTTTCTCTGTTCTGCAGCTGGAGGGCTCTGGCCCTGCAATAGGCCACCAATGGGTGGGCTGGCAAGGACCTGACCCCTCTGCTTCATCCAAGGGGAAGGGAAATAATCTCAGGGCGATCACAACAAGGCTAGCAAGCGCCGGCTGGGTGCTGATACAATTCATCTATCCCAGGGACAAATTAAAAGCACTACCCTGAGCAAACAGCGATGGCATTATTGCTGGAAAAATGCCCGAACCACAACATATCAACCAATTTTGTTTCAGGGGAATTTACAATAGAAAGAAAAAAAAACACAAAACATGCAATACCTGCGGCACCTCATCAATCTTCCGTTAGTAGGATAGATTTTCTATCTATTTTTTAATTTGAAAAGGTGGCTGGAGGGGTTCTTTAATGCCATACGGAATCTCTCTGCCCTCTGGCAGCGGTGGCCTCGGGCTGCAGTAGGGCTGCTCCATAGGTCCCATTGCTGGTTTTTGCTGCCCAGTGGGAGCAGAGCTGAGCTGAGGAAGGGTCTCAAGGAGGAGAACCCGCCTGCTTGGGATTTTCCAGCAGGATTTAGCTATGGTCACTTGGAGAGCAGAGCAACCAGAGCAGCAGAGCAAGGGAAGGGTGAGTGCTAGTCAAGCATGCATGCTTCCTGGAGAAGCAGAGCAGCAGCTCTGCAGAGCAAAAGGAAGGGTGATGGCAGAGGGGGAGTAAGGAGGTGACAGCAGAGGGTGGAGTTACGTTGTTAAGGCCTGCAGAGCTTGCAAGTGGACTTGGAAAAAAATCCGTGTTTCCTCTAGAAAAGGCGATTCCCTTCTGCACCTTCCCTCTCCCTGGCAGAGATTAGAGCAGCAAGGTTAATATAGTAGCAGGTACATCCATGAAAATCCGCAGCTGAGTCTTCACTCCAAGTGCTGCCAGCTCTTCCCTACATCTTCAGGAATCAAGGTGCCTCGTTGGAAGTGGCTCCATTGCCTTTGTTGACGTAAAAGGGGCGGTAATGTGACTGCAATGGAGAATTTGGGGCATTAAGTTTGACCTTCTTGTGTCTTTTTCTGGCCACCTATACTTCACCCTCCTTGGCAGCCCAACCATTTGTAATTGAACACACTCCTATCTTAACACCTTCAGTCCCGCAGAGCAGCACCTCGTTTCTCAGCAGGAGTCATGAAATGCAAATGGTGATGCTGTTTGATTTGCGCTCATGCTTTGCATGGACATCATGCCTAAGCCAAATGAGTCTATGCATGAAATAAACTCTCAGACTGTGACTCATGGCTTGATGAGAGGTTTCTGGGAGAAGAGGAATGTCACCTCTATTTTTATGCTTCTGTCAGTGTCTTTTAATTGCTCGCTAACCTGAGAACTCATGGGAGCTTTCACACTTAAAGCCACGCACGGTTATGTGAGCGATGGGCTCTGCTGCACAGTGCTTATTTGTGCTCTCTGGTTGGAGAACCAAAATTCGTGTGCATGGAAATTCTCCCACAGTGGAGTATTGTTTATTTGCACCTCCACGTGTTGCAGGGCCCCATGTAAAAGTCTGGGTAAGCAGGAGCATAAGTGGAAGAGATGCAAGGGTAAAGCCTAGGGGAGCTGCCACGTTCCTCTGTCTCCAGCCCTATTACCACAGTCTCCAGTTGCGCCTCTTCTCATCGTGACCCACCCCAGCAATTTCATGCTTATCTACACCATTACAAACAAGCAACACGTGACAAAGGCTCATTGTGCAGCCTAGTGTTGGCTGGGGGCGATTGCAGAACACAAAAGCCCATCTAGTGACTGACTGAAAGGTGAAATCCTTAGCCTGCATCCAGCAATACTGAGGCAATCAATCAGTTCTTCCTCACCTTTGTTGCCCCCTGACTGCAGTGCTTTAAACTTGAGGGTTAACCCCTGTTGCTCCTCTTGCAAGCAACTCCTACACATGGCGGCTTGGATGCTGCCACTGAGGAGCACCAAGGTGACATGAGAACATGCTTACACCAGGGAAGTGGTTAACAAGGCAGTCAGGGCCAGCCCTGGTTTTGCAACATCTGATCTGTCTTAGGTTTGATCTGCTGCCCAGATCTCGCTTGCAGAAGGCAGGAGAGACCTCCCAGGAGCACTGGTTGAGGCTGGGAACATACAAGTCAACCCATCTTGCTGCTCAGTGCCAGCTCCCAGAGCCTCCTGCTCAATGTTGTTGAGATTCTTCTCACTCCATGGCTTCCAATTACAAAATAATTAGGAGATGGAAGAGAGAGATGGAGACTTCATTTTAAAGAAGTCCCTCTGGGTTGAAAAGACGTTCCTCCTTAAACAGTGGAGTTCTTTGTGAACATTTGTATTTACGGACCTTTTAGGGTGTGTATTACTTAAATGCATATTTAAGACTACTTTAAAAGCTGTATTATTGGGCCAATAGACCGTAAAAGCTCACGCAGAGCTACTGCAGCCTGGAGTGTATCTATATTGGGACTTCTTAATGCTTATATTTATCAACTCAATTGTTAGGTTCAGGGATATCTGGTGAATATAGGCTATAAAAACAGAATAGCCAGCAGCAGCATATGCATGAAGGAGACAAAAAGAGCAGTGGCTTTGGGTGGGAGAAGTTATCAGGCCTTCTCAGCAGGGATGAAGGGAAGTGGGTGTTGGGTATCAGTATTAAAAACCATTGGCTGGAGTGTCCATGTGGACACAAGCATGATGAAGTTGGGGATCTTTTAGAAAGGCTGTGACCAAACACAAGACAGAGAAGATATTGCCTCTCACTGCTGCCCCCTAGATGCGTTTTTGCTGTAGCATGTTCAAGTACTCAAGGCTGGACTTTCTGAAGGTGCTACAGCCTATGTCAGGATGTCCTTTGCGCTGCTATTCATCTCCTGGAGGGGCCTTTAGAATGGAGCAGACATAGAGCTGCAGTCCTTGGGCAGCTCCTTTCTCACTGCTGTGTATTCCTTCTATTTGCATCCTCCAGTCTAGCAATGCTCTTGACTCTTGGCCTCCTCCTCCTTGCAAGTATTATTTCCAGGGAGTGGTAAATAACGTCTCACCAATGCACAATGAGAATTCAAAAATGGGTTTTGCCTGCAGAGACGAGGGCAAAAACCTGATGTTCTTAACTCGGCTTGTGCAAGATCTTAATGCATCGTGGTGCAGAGATGCTAAGACAAAGTGGATAAACACAGCATTTCTGTGGTTAACTCTTAGTTAACCTTGCACGTGAGAACTGCAGCACTACCAACCTTTGGCCCTCGTCGTGTGCTGTTGCCTGTGTTGTGGCAGTAGTGCTAACTGAGCCATTGACAGCTGTTGTAGTGATTTATCATCATTGTCTGACCCTCGTCTTTGATATTGCGCCTGCTCACTGTAGGATGTAATTAGTATAATGCTTCTATATGGTTCTCTGTTGGAGTTATTTACACAATCTGTGTTTTCTTGTTGTCAAAGTCTATTAAGAGTGTATGATATCCATGCAGGAAGAAAATGTTCTACAGATTCCAGCGTGTCTTCTGCAATGTTTGTATAGCTTTTAGAAGCCTGGATCGAATTCTAGACCAGGGCAAAATCCTTTCAAAATGTCACTTCAAAATATTGATTATTCCTACATCCCAGCACTGTGGTGTCAGGGGGGTCAATCTGCATCCCTCTCTGGATGCAACTATCACAGAAAAAAACAATAGAAGCTGCTGACCTGAACCTTTCACTCGCCTGTTTCCAAAGGACCGAAGCCCTATTCTCTGGAGTCCCAGGTCCCCTAAGAACAGATATTTCCTTTGCTGAAGCTTTCACCCCCAGGGTTTGTTTCTTACCAATACAGATTGCTTGGAGGATTTCCATGTCTGTGGCGTCACTTTTGCAGACTGATGTCTCACTATTGAGGGATAAGCTGTGACAACATAAAAGAGCCTGTTACAGGTCAGCCCCTGGCACCATCCCCATCTCTCCTTGCAAGCACCGGGATGAGCAGCAGGACTGGAAGTGCCACGTAATTAGTATTGCACTGCTTGACACTGAAATGCAGCCACTTCTGGGGGTGGGACACAGCAGCCATCGGACAGACACCTATCCCACCACCCTGTTGGTTAGGAGAAGGGAGTGCAGGAGGTCTGTCTAATTAAAATGTCTGGGGAATGCAGGGAGGCAGAATGCGATCGGTCCAATTAAATTTAGGCCAAGGCCTGAACTAAGCATTCTGACTCTTGCAAAGAACACTGTAGGCTATTTAATTAGCACAAAGAGCCGAGGCCTGGGTTTCATGTCAGAAATTAATGACAGCACCTCTGGCAATGCGATAAGCCCTAACCTCCTTCTACTGCACCAGCTCAGTTCTGATTCAGAAATAATAGCAGCCCTGCTGAATCACCACCAGTGTCAGAGCTGCCAGGCAATGGGCTTTCCCCACCATCTCCCAGTTGCAAATTAATCCAACCTGACTGCGCTCGGCAGGTGCTGGTGCCCTTGGGTTCAACCTTGGGTGCCCTTGAACTGGTTGGTGGTGAAAAGAGGATGACGAGGCAGCGAGTGGGGAATGCCGGTTCAGATAAAAGAGACCTGGCAGCTAAGTGCATCGCTTTATTAAAGGTTGTGCTCGGTGGCTATTACTCTTTTAGGATAATAGCTGTTTTGAAATAGTGATAAAGCTAGAGGGGTAAAGGGAATGTCGTCTCCTGCGGTCTCCGAGCACCTAAAAGCATCTCAAATTCTCATCTTCGGGTGTGGGGCTGTTCCAGGCCTCCTGGCGGGAGCAAGAACAGGATGAAATATCTTATTGCCTAAAAAAAGGGGCAGAAGGGAGGGAGGAGGGCAACACCTAAGTGCCCAGTACCGGTCTTAGTGAAGAGGCTCCCATCAGACTGTTTGCTGAAGTCACCGGGCGGATTCTGTCCCACCGAGGAGAACTGAAAAGGCAGCTTAGTGCCATTGCCTACTGGAAGATAGAAGAGGTTGAGTTACTCCGGGGGGCTGCGTGCGGCAAGGGGGGAACCTAAGCATTTCAACACACACCCTGTGAAAACTGCCTCCAAATGGCTTAGGGAAAATGGGGACCAGTGGCTGCGTCCCTTTTCCCTAAGTGAGAGCAGCCAGTGGTGGGATCCCGGTGCACAGTGTGTGAGTGTGGAGGTGCCAGTGAGGGAAGAAACTTTCTGGTGAGACCCAGAATGCAGGTGTGACCGAAGAGCAGCATCCTTGCAGGTAAATGGTATCTCCAGACACTGGGATAACATGGCAAAACAACACGGCAACCAAAGCTCCTTTGCCTCAGAGCTATTGAAGCCTTACTCAAAGCCCAGTGAAATTAAAGCAAGGCTTCCCCTCCTGGCTGCCAAAACGATTGTGAGAGAGGAGCGATAAGATAGAGCCAGCCTTGTCTGCAGCACAGGCAGTGAGTGCAGGTGCCCAGGGCTCCCTGGGCAGGAGGCTGCAGTGCTTGGGGAAATGGAAGGTCCTGTGAGCAGGAACAGGCAGAGGGAGCAGGGATAGGTGGGAGAAAGGAAGGCTTTGTTGCTGCTGGTTCTCCCCATGCCACCACAAAGTCCCCTCCCCATCACGCTGGGTGCTGTACAGGCAGTGAACGCTGGGCAGGCCACGATGCCGAGAACTGAAGTGGTAAGGAAGAGGTGTATAGGAGAGGGAGGAGAGCAGCTTCATGCTTCTGTGTCAGGGTTGGGGTGAACTGAGCCAGATCCTGGCCCTGCCCCAGCCCCTGCAGCTCGCCTCGGACAAGTTGGTGGAAGCAGTTTGTTTGTTATCTCAGGGTCTTTGGAAGTTGGTTGGGTATTTCAGGGTCTTTGGCGGTTGGTTGGATGTCTCAGGGTCTTTGGCAGTTGGTTGGGTATCTCAGGGTCTTTACAAACTGGCACCTGTCTGTTTTCCATCTTCTTCTCACTGTCTGAGCAGTGAGGACCAGGGAGGCCCTTCCCTCCTATACACACAGCCCTAGAGCAGCGCCAGCTCACGTTTGGGTGTATGCAGCCACAGCTGATAACCCAGATAAGAGCTGGTTCTGTGAGACAGGGACAGGACAGCCGAGAGGGGAAGCAGGACAGGTCAGTTAGACAGCTGGAAAGCTGTGGCACGGGTGTTAGATCCTTTCAAACTGAAGGCAGATTTACCCATACCAAGTGTTTCCTCAGTCGCTTGGAAGGAGGAAAATTCCCATGACCGTGGGTTGAAACTGGCTGTAAAACAAGAGCATCCAGTTCAGCAATCGGCTTCTGGTGAGCTGGCTCTAAGGGCTGTGCGTGGCACTGCTCTATGAAACAGTCCCCACCATTCTGGAGGCAACCCCAGACCAGAAATGTGGTGCGGAGAGGGAAGTCTGATCTTTTTGCTCTGTGTCCCAGGGGGGTTGGTGGGACATCACTTAGCGAGCAAAACTCTCTCATTGCTGCACAGCTGTCTTCAGCTGCATTCAGTTGCCAGCTGCAGTTTGCCTGCTAAACGTAGCTGTTTTGCAAAGAGACCTGCAGGCGGAGGCTTGCATTTAGGGCACGAGAGACACGAGCAGAGGAACGTCTCTTGCCCTGCCACCTGGACAGGGTTTTGCTAGGACTTCACGCTGGGATGCAGCCTTGTGCTGTTGTACCCCTGTGTGAGCCATGGCTCTCCCCGAAGAACACAAAGCGATGAATGCTTTGAGCTGTTTTGCTGCCATCCTGTGGTCTGCTTTTCTATTTCAGCACTGCTTGTATTGCAGCAGTTGCCTCTCCCTTCCTCTGATTCAAAGACCAGCAAAGGCACAAGGTGATCTTTCCAACTTTCTTCCGGCTTTGGCCAAACTCTTTGCAATGTCAGGAGTTAAAAAAAAAAGCCCGGTGGAAGAGGACAGAAAGGAGCGCTGAGCAGCAGAACACTTTGTTCCCCCATCTTTTAGGCAGTATTTGAAGCCTTTTATGTCTCCCCTCTGCCTCATTATGTCACCCCTGCAGATGGATGCTCTGCGATACTGTCTTTAAGGGAAAAGAGCACTGGAAGGCTCCTTCAGTGCAAGCAGGGCTTAAAAACAGGGGTCAGTTCAAGTCCAAGCAGTTTTTGAGCACTAGCACGGAGCACCACATGGGTAACATTCCTCACTGCAGCAAGCAGACTTGCTGCTGTGACCTAAGGCAGAATTTGCAGTGTCCCAACCTATCAAGAAATAGGGTGTGTTGCAAAACTGTCAAGAGAAATTTAAGGGTTCTCTGCATGTTATGCAACACGAAGGGTGGAGGGCACGTCTTTTATTCGATTTTTCTTCCATTTTATGGAATTCTTTAGAAAAGATGCAATCGGAAGCAGTGCTGGACTTCCACATGACACACTGCAAGAGCACAGAAGGCTCTGGAGAGCTAAATGATTACGGCTATGGTGCATTATTCATCAGATAATCCTTTGCTAGCCAGCATGCAAGCTTAAGTGGGTCATGTCTCCTGTTTTGCCTACTGACTCATTCTGTTCCCAAAGTCCCCATTGGTGTGGTTGCAGCAGCTGGTTCCCTTCTATCACTGTTCCCATAAGGGATCTTGTGGCCTCTCTCTGGTGGAGAATGCAGTGCTGCTCAGTCCCCATTTCGGCAGGGACTTTGTGCTGCCACGTGTTTAGTTCTTTGGTTGAAGGAACCAGATTGGAAGCTAACACAGAACGAGCAGCTTTGGGAAGCAACACGTGTGGGCTCTCAGGACAGTGGAAGTGTGCAGGTGAAACAAATGATCCCACAGTGTTTGTGTATTCAAAAGCCCGTTGCAGAAAGCAATGGGACACGGTGTGCTGACTGCATCCAGCAAGCATCCTCTCTGGCTCCAGTAAACAGCACTAAATCGTGACCTCTAAATCCAGCAGCTGGTTTCTCCTTTGTTGTGGTGGGTTCTTCAGGAGGTCAGGATGCAGAACAGCATCTCCTCACCCTCCACTCCCTTCAAATTCATTTTAGGCCATTTTCACCTGAACCCAAAGCCCTGCATTTTGGGTGGACTCAGTCTGAATAATGGAGAACTCATTTTCAGCCATCCCTTAAGGTTGAAAGTGGTGCAGGATGCAGGTCTCAGACTGGTCTCTCCCCAGCACTGGCAGAACTGGTGCAGAACAGCAGCTTTGCAGCCCTGTGGGCAGTTTTTGCAGACAGCCTCCCTGTGAATTGAACCCTCTGCTTGCAAAATGCCCTCAAACTTGGATGTCCCCAAACTCAGAGGGCCAGCAGGGTGCAGTCCTGCTAAAGGCTGATGCCTGAGTGGGATCTGCACCCAGCAGCATCCCGTTGCCCATGTGGGTTGGTAACAGAGGAAAAGGCAAAGGGGACATTGAGACAAAGGGCTCAGTGTTGGGAGCTGGGCTGTTCCCACGCAGCCCTACAGACAGAGCAGCAATATGGCACACATGTGCCTTCAGGGCAGCAGCGTGGCTAATTGCAGGCATGGCCCTGTGCCCCACCACCATCTGCCTTGGCAGAGCAGCAGCTGCAAACAGCTGGCAAAGCCAGCCAGGGATCTGCTCCCTAAGGAACAGAGGGAATTTGGTTAGTTATTCTGCCCTGTCCTTTCTGTGTTGCTGTCTCTACAGGCGCTGCTCTGCCCAAGGCCCTGTCGCTCTGCGCTTCTCTGGTCCTGATTTAGAAATAGGCAGCTGCCATTTTACAACTGAATGCGTTGAAAACAGTCATTCACTCATCCCATAGTGTTCGTGTAGCAATGGGGACATAGGCAGATCAGCAGGGCTCTTGTTGACAGAGTAAGAGCTCAGAAAAGAACCCCAATCTGCTTTTTTAGGACACATTCCTCACTTCTTGCATCCTTTCCCTGCAGGGAAAAAACATGTTTTCTGGTGAAAGTAAAATCTTAATGCAAATGAAGCCTTGGTGTAGCTTTCACATTTGATAGCACAGAGGGGTAAGCTTCTGGTGGAGGATAACGCTTACTTCAACCTGATAAAACTCCCCTTGTGTCACAAACACCCCTCTTGGAAGAGCTCAGTTGCTCCAGTTCTCCTCCATGTAGCCAAGAGCTTTTGTTGCCTTGTTTGGGATGGAAAGGAAAAAACTTCTCCAATCTTTGTAGGATGGAGAGAAGACCCAACATAAATGCAGGGGGAAGGACCTTGGATAACACTGAAGTATGTGCAGGAAAGCAAATCTGAAGACAAATCATGAGTGGAGTTCCTTTCCTGTGCTGTGTTTGGAAGAAGGGTGCTGGGCTGCCTTACCTTTGGGAGACAGGAACATGGAAAATCTCTTCAAGTTGTCGGGCTGGTTCCACTCATAGTTGTTCATCATGTATCGGTGGTCACCTGGAGGAGCAGAGCAGGCATCAGTGGGGTCCCACAGATGGAACAGAGTCACATAATCATAGAATGGTTGGGTTGGAAGGGACCTTGAAGACCATTGAGCTCCAACCTCCCTGCCACGGGCAAGTTGCCACCCACCAGATCAGGCTGCCCAGGGCCTCATCCAACCTGGCCAAGGACAAAGGGAAGGGGCAGCAGGTTGGAACTGCTGCCTTGAGCGTGGGGAGGGAGGTGTTTGTGCCCATTGAAAGCAAGTTGTTCTATTTTTCTAATTCTTCCATGGGACTTTTGGGTCTGAGCAGTGCTGAGGTTCAGCCTGAGATGGCAGAGGTTTAGCACAGCTGAAACATGAACAGGTGAGGAAAGCTGCCCAGCAGAGCTGGGCTTTCTCCTGAGCATCCAAGGGGAGACTTTGGGGTTGAGGAATTTTCTTGCTGAATTGCTGCTGTGTGGCTAAAAATGGATCCCACTTCAAAAGCAATGGTTTGGGTTAACCTGCACACAGAGCTGGAGCACGACCAGAGGGTCTGGACCTGCAGCTATTGCAAAGCCCAAAGAAATGTGAGGGTTGGGAAGGCTCCATGGGTTGGTTTCTGCCATTTTTGAGGTGCCAAACCCGAGTTACAAAGAGCTCTAGCTTCCCTGCCTTCTGGTTCAAGCTTCATTCAAAGTGGGACAGCCCTTCCCTTTGGCACAGCCTGATTCCATTCTCAGGGAATGATCCATGGGAAATGGTGTCCTATCCGCTCAGAAAATTATATACATACATAAAGGCCTTAATTCTGCTCTAAATCTATGGTTCTCTGGAAGGATGAAGGTTTGATTCCCATATTGTGATAGTTCCACAGTTTGATTCTTAAGTTACTGAACAAACTTTTGTGCTATTTCTCTGATTTACTTTTGTGTTATTCAAAATCCCTGGGCGCTCTCTGACTGTTTTCCTCCTTGCCACACTGCTAAGTAGGTACCTGTTATGACAACTAAAAGAAAGTGGATTCCCTTTGGAGTCTGCTATTAAGCAGACTTCATTCCATTAATACAATATTTCTTCATGGGAAGTTTCTTACGCTGGAAGATCAAGCTGGTTGCAAATGAATTTGTTGCAGTGACTCAGGGGGAGTGTGAGTTAATTAAATCCATTAAGTAATTGTGGAGTTATTTCCTTGCAGTCACTCGATGCAGAGCACTGTCCTCTTTCAAGTGTAACTGCAGTTTGAGAAATGGAGAGCTCTGAAGTTTCTGAGATTCACCTTAAATAACGTTTCCCAGCTGAGTGGATGCCACTGCTCTCCTCATTAGGCAGGCTGCAAGCTGTGTCCATTACATCCCTGTACAGTTCCCAAAAGTGCCCAGATTTCTGGCACTGGTGGAGTGTTGCCCTGCTCAGAAATGCTTTGGCACTCGAATCCCATGGGTTTCGAGTACCTTTGAGGGTTCTGACATCAGTAGCATGGAGGGGAACCTAACTGAAAGTGAGCAGCTGATCGGGAACATGTGCGTATGGTTGGGTTGTGCAAACGGACAAGAAAATGCACTGGCTTCAGAATTGGCAAAAGAGACTCCTAACTCTGGAGGTTACTTCCTTAATTGCAGCCTACTGTTGTGCTACTCATCTAACCTTCACAGTGCTGTGAGCAGCTGGCAGCCAGAACCCCTATGGCTCTGTGCCATCCAAGGTTTGGAGATTCGACAGAAGTCCAAAAGTGTACAAAAATGATTTTGGAATCTGAGCTGTCTTCCATCTACCTGACTTGCATTACAGCCAGATTTCCCAGCAGAACTTAGCACACGAGGTGCTGCAGTGATGGGTTGATGGTTGGACTGTATGATCTTACTGGTCTTTTCCAACCTTAGTGATTCTATGATTCAGTGGTGAATATTAGAAGACAAGTAATATTCAGTTTCTAGTCCTGCTTGAAGGTATGGGGGAGCTTAAATAAAATCTATCTCCATGCTCAGCACTTTGAACATGGTTCCTGACTTTTCTGAGATGTTGGTGCTCTGAACCAGAGCATTTTGTGCATCTCATTCATGTCCAATGGAGAATGGTGGTGTTAGAAAGACATCAATTAACTGTTTGCCATGCAGGCTCCTTGGGGCCAAGACTTGCTCTTTCTCTTCCTAACGAAGGAAGGCAGCATGCTGTCACTTGATGATCACAGTGATGCTCATTACACATCCAAATTCACTCTGGTTCCATGTCGCCTTTGTTCTTACTGCTCTAAATTGTGAATGTCAGGCTGATTCACAAACGTCAGCCTCTGAGAGACACTGTTTGTTCTCCAGTAACAAGTCCCATGTTGGTCTGACTTATGTGCTTCTATTTGCTTTTTCTTTTTGTTTTGTTTCCTCCCCTCCTCTTTTATCATCTCATCTCATAACGTGCATCTGTCTTTTCTTGAAGTTGGAGAGATTTATCTGAGTGCTGTCCAGAAAAAGGTGCTGTGTTAATATGAGAGGAATGCCTGATGAGTACTGTGAATCTGAATGAAATAGCAGTGTTCTTGCAGATGCATGTTGCAGTGATCTTCTGTTGTATGAAATGGGCTTGAAGTCTATTCCTGCAGCTTTTTGAGTCACTTCTCTTGGACATCAGTTTACCCTCAGATTACCTTTCCAGTTGTTGACCTTTATTGCTCTGCTATCTGAGGTCCCACAATCATAAATTAGACCTTCCTTGCAGCCTGGCAAGATAAGGATTTACTCCCATCCCTACTATTCTTAGTGCAAGAGGTCATGTAATGGGATTAAGTACCGTGCCCAAGGTCACAAAGGCTGTTTGTGGGACAGCTTGGAAGTGAAACATGGTTATGGTGTGCAGTCTCACAAACGAGCTTTATGCAACACAAGTCCTCTGCAGAACTGATGGGAAGAGACTGAAAGAAAGTGGGTTCAAAGCCTTAGAAGATTCCTTGCATTGCTGTGGTATTGGCCATGCCCTCGCTATTTACATAAGAAAGATTGCTCATCCTTAATCACTGCAGGAACCCGTGTGCTCTGCATTCCCTGAGCCGGGAGCTGAGGAAGCACAGCTCTGCTTGGTGGGACCTGCAGAGGCAGGGTCAGGGAGCGATGCCTCTTCCAAGATTAGTTTGACCCGAACACCAAAACAAAGACCTTTTTTTACCCAGAAAACCTGTTATTAGATTTTCAGTGACAGGTGATTTCGGGATATTTCATGTTCCAGGCTGAAAGCAGCTGCTGTAAAATAGCATGTCACAGCAGCACTAGCGCACTAACCGAGCAGGACAAATGAGGCTGATGGCAGGATATCTGAATTGCCATCCTGGGGTGGCCACGTTCCTACTTCTGCCAGTGTTTTTCTTATAATCCTGCCTCCTCTCTGTCACCCAGTGAGCTCCCGAGCCGGGCTCTGCCCAAGGATGGGGCAGCTCTGGGTTACTTTACCATTCTCAATGTGGTTCCTCTCAATGAAGTTGCGGCCAAGGTCTGCCTTGCAGATTTTCTCCACGTGCCTCATGCAGACGTTGAGGAGGTCATCACGGAGCAGCCCCATGGAGGGGCTCATGCTCTCCCCTTCGAGCAGCACGCTGTACGTCGGGAGGGAGGGAGGGGGGACATAATTCCGCATCAAAGCCCCAAACTCCTGCCAAATTGAGGAGGAGAGAGGTTATTGAGGAATATAAGGAGAGGTCCCGAGAAACTGTCTACGTTAGGCTCCAAATAACACAGAGAGGGAGGGAGAGTAGTGGAGATGGATGGGAGGCAGTCAGATGCTTTGGCTGAGAGCTGTAGCCACCAAAAAAGGAGGAAAAGGAAAGAAATATGAGGCGTTGGCATGCTGAAGTTCATGCTTCACAGGAGCAGACACAGCTTGAAATGCCAGGGCCAGTTCCTCACGTACATGTGCAATGAACTGGAAAAGACTAGTGCTTCCTATGCTATCTGAGAAAAGGAAAAGCAAATGAGGTCTTTCTGACCTGGAGGAAGAGCACGGAGTCACTGATCTGATGGATCTGCTCCCTGTTCTCCTTGTCCTCCCGCAGCAGCTTTGCCCTCTCTTCCAGCTCATCCACAATCTCTTTCACGTTCTCCGAGGCAATCTTTTCCCTCTGATCCAGGGCAGCCTTCACTTCATCCCTCTGCCTCTCCAGGTCCCGGATCAGCTCCTTGAAATGCTGGTCTACTGTTGCTTTCTCATTGGTGGTGTAGTTCTGTGGGGGCAAAGGGGAGAAGGAAGGCAGCAGAAAAGACACAAGAGAGGGTGAGAAACAAAAGATGAACTCTCGCGTGGAGTCACTTGCTAACATGGGGTGTAGGTGGGGTTGTGTCCAAGCACTCGATGGGACAGGAGGGAATGGCCTCAAGTTGCACTGGGGAAGGTTCAGATTGGATATTAGGAAGAATTTGTTGTCAGAAAGAGTTGTCTGGCACTGGCACAGGATGCCCAGGGAGGTGGTGGGTTCACTGCCCTGGAGGTGTTCAAGGAAGGGGTAGATGTAGTAATGAAGGACACGGTTGAGTGGGCAATATTAGTGGTAGGTGGATGGTTGAACAGATGATCTTAAAGATTTTTTCCAGCCTTCATGATTCTATGATTCTCAGCACTGGGACCACGACCATGGAGATTTTAGGTATGCAATTCTCTAGCACCAGAAAGCTATGCTAAGATAAGTAATATTAATTCTTGCAGTAAGTGTGTATATAGATAACATGTGGTGCACGCTGTCTTCCTCATTACAATAGTATCTCTTCAATTCATGAGCTGCACTCCTGATATTTAAAAACACAGTCTAACTTTCTAAATCATAACTCTGGCTCCTCCAGAATTTAAGGACCAAATTCACTCCGTTTCAGCAGATGAAAGCTGCTGAAACACTTTCCATCAGCCTCTCTACATCTCTCTGAAATATTCCTCAGAATGACTATGGATAGAACTATATTCAGAGTTAAAATTTCTAGGTCACATTTCCAATAATAGTAATAGTAGTGGTAATAATAATAATAATAGAGGAGACAAAAAGCAGAACTGGCAAGTCAGTGTGCGTGCACCACATAAAAGGGAGAAGAATGGCTTTGCTTATTAATATTATGCAAATTCTCTGGGGTGTTTTCAAATAGTGTTTTCACTGCTCTGTTCAGTTAGGGTGTAAATTAAAAAAAAAAAAAAAGAAAAGCACCTTTACTATGTTCTAACCCTTGTGTGGTGAAAGGACTATAAAGGAGACTTCTATCAGTGTGGAAATGAGCTGTTCCATTATAAACAAGACACACGTTTGTGTAGCTGCACCTGGTTGCCTTAGAATCATAGAACGGTTGGTCTGGGGGACCTCAAAAATCATCTAGTTCCAATCCCCTGCTATGGACAAGGCTGCCGACCAGCAGGTTGCCCAGGATCCCATCCAGTGTGGCCTGAAGCACCTCCAGGGATGGAGATGGGCAATCCAGAGGGCTTCTGGAGTTGATTTTCTAAGTGGACCAGCAGGAGAAGGGCAGAATGCTTTTGTTTCCAAATGGGCCTGGCTGTTAGTGATGGCAGAACCATCACAGATGATAGGAAACAAAAGCAGGTAGGTGTCCCGAGCCATTTCATAACAGGGCTGTGCAGGCTCCTCTTGTCTCCTGCAGGATGTGTTGCAAAATGACTTCAGTAGGAGTTGTTGTTGCCAAGATGTGGTGTGAACGCATGTTGGAGAGTGATGAGGTAGAGGCTAGGTAAGGAATGGAGTGAGTAAGAGCTGGATATGCCAGGAAAATTGAGGGAAGAAAGAGTGATGTGAGAGACTGGAACAGAAAGAGACAAGCATAGGGGAGATGGAACAGTGAATATCCCCCACGCACCTTGATACGGTCCCTCTCCTTCTGCCACTTATCCACTTCATCTTCCACCTCGATGATCTTCAGCTGCAGTTGCTCCTTCTGCAGCGAGAGTTCAGCCTGCAGGAAGAGGGGAGACCCATAAGCAAGGGCTGCATGGTGTCCCTGGAGGAGCGCTGTGCTTCCTCTGCTGCATTTGGCCCCGAGCAGCAGCAGCCAGGCAGCATGGGCTGCTGGCACTGCTTGAGATGGAGACGATGTGCTGACAGGGGACAAGGTGCCAGAGCTGCTGGCTGGGGCAAGAGATTCAGCTTCCTCAGCAAAGACAGCAGCAGAAGCACCCACCTACCAGGCTACCGTCATGGTGCTGCTTTTAATCACATTAGAGTCATTAGCTGGAGGGGGGGACGAGTCCTGTTTCAAAATTCAGCTGTGTATGCAGCACGGGGCCCATCCCAGGGTGTGCCTCTGCAGCAATAACAGTTTTCATGTAATTACGGAATGACGTTTGACGAGTGTTGCAACAAAGAGGACGGTGCCTCCGGCAGGAATTCTGTTTAGACAGGATTGTGGATTAATTTGCTCTGAATTGAGAGCTTTCATGTTATGATGAAGCTGGGGAATGCTTGGAAAAAAAAAAAAAAAAGTACAAAAAAAAAAAAAATAACAAAAGGAAGAGGGGAGGAGGCGTAGCCAACCATGCTTGGCTTAGATCAGCACCTTCCCTGGGAGCCATTTGCATTTTGTTTTGCACTGGCTTCCTAGCAAAGTGCAGAGCAGATAGCTGCACACAAGGTGGAGAGCTGGAGACCATAGAGGGCTGGGCACTGCTGGGACATCCCTGGGCCATGCTGGACCCGGCTGCTGAGCACTGCCCCGTTAGCTCACCTGCTGCTCACCACCTCCCTGCCCCACAGATCATGACAAAGCCTTTGTTTACGTGTCTCAGGATCTTTCTGCGTTTCATGTGTGCGCAGGTTGGTCACAGCACAGCTATAACTGCAGGCAATCTGGTGGTGGCACACACGTTCCCAGAGCTCTTGAGGAATGGCACAGTCAGCAGCAATGATCTGTGCTGCTCAGCTGTGCTATGGCACAACGCTGCCTCTGAAAACCCACTGTAGGTGTGGAATCCTTCAGCGAGTGTGCATCACCCCAAAGGACTCATATTTAAGCCAACAGTGTTGTAAGGGAAGTAAGGACTGGGGGAACTCAGCAGCTAACACAGTAAGGTTGCACTGCCACCAAGCCAGGATCATAACTTAGCCTGCAAACCCAGCTCTTCTCTCCTGATCATTGTTGGCTTTGGGGGTGGGAGTTGAAAAGAGCAGCAAAAGTTCATCACAGCATGAAGAGCAAGAAGGCAACAAACTGCCAGCTAGCTCAGAGCAGGGAAATCTGCCCGTGGAGGCTCTTGTCTTGGTGCCAGTTGCTGCCGTGTCTGAACATCCTCTTGAGCCTGAATCAAGCACAGCAGCATTTGAGAGCCATTGACTCTTGCTGTTCCAATTTAGAAAACCTCTATTTAATAGAAGGAAAACAATTTGATTGTTGTTTTATTGCCCTATTGAAAAAAAAGAAGAAGAAAGGGCAAACAAAAAAGGCAAATGTACTCAAAGACATCTCTGGGCCAGAAGAGCAGCATCCTTTATCCTTTACCATCAGTGTAATTGTCCTTCTTGAGTTAGGAGACAATTGCCCCTCTAAAGAGCATCTATACACCCTGGCAGCCCCAACTGAGAGCAGCCATCAGCTGAAGCTCATGTTCTACAAGGGCTGAGAGCAGACACAGAAGGGTTTTGCAGTACAGGTTCCTAAGGGAGATGTGTATATCAGGATATCAGGACAATTTGCTCTTCTGCTGATCAAGAAAGTAAAGGTGTGAGTTTGGTTCTATGCTTTTCACATTTTTGAGACAGTAACTTGAAGGAATGCATGTTTTTGCCCATTTCTATGCACACTCCAGCAATCAATCTGAAAAAAAAAAAGTGCAATCTAATGCCAGATCTTTCCTTGAGCCATAAGCTACATCCAAATGACGTTGACTTTTTGCAAAAGAGGACCTCCTGAGCAGTGGGAAGTGTGCCCCTCTTCATCCCTAACTATCTGGACATTTTCATGACAAGAACGTGGAGCTTTCTTTTCAGAAGGGCTGATGTTTCACAGCCACAGAAGCTTTGTAATCACAACAAATTTGAAAGGAAAGGTTACAGGAGAATTTTCCAGATGCTGGCTGGAAGGTGGTGATAACAACATGATACTTACATGGTGCTTTTTAATTAAGATAGGTCTCAAAGGAACTTAGAAAACTATTACTGGCTCAAAAGTGGTAGCTAGCTCTTTGCAGCTTGTTGGAGCTGAAAGATCCCTTCATGCAGAAAGGTAGTTTGGGTGCCGCTGGGATGGAACTAACAACTGCTTAAGAGCAACCCCACACTACAATTTAGAGTAAGAATTACGATTTGCAAATGGAAATTACAGAGGTCATTCCAATAGCTGGAATGCAAATATCACAGTCATCCAGGTTCAGCTTGGGTTAAAACTCCTCTAATGAGGGCAAAGGAAACACTGGTATGGAGAGCAGCAAAGAGAGTGTCTTCGTTGCATGGCAGCACAACCACTAGAACTGTTTGTACCAAAAAAGAAGACATTAAAAGGAGATTGCATAGGGGCTGTACCCATTGTTGGAAGGGTCCCTGCTCTGCAGAAATGATGACAGTGGTCAAAAATGTGGGACACACTTGTTTAGAGCGTTAGGTTTGACTATGGGAAATGCTGGCAGCGAGAGTCTGAGCGGACAGCAGATCGCCTGTTACCACCTAAATTAATTAGGACAGTCTAGAGGCCTAAGTGAAAGTTCAGAGTGTACATCTAAACATCCACAAGTGAACCCAGCCCTTGTGCTGAAGGACCTGGCAATGTGAGATTATGACTCTTGCATCATGACGCAACTCGTTTTTGCAAGGCAGCAATACAAGCATCGTCATGTCTTAATGCTCTGGGAACCCAGTCCCTGAATCAGGAAACACCCCTGTGTCACCAGCCTGGGAGAGCTATGGTAATTATCCGTCAGCAACAACCAAATGCAATAATGAAGTGGGAAAAGAAGAGCTGAAACGAGCTGTCCCAGCATAGGGCTTATACAGGAGGTGGCACAGCTGAGATATCAGCGCATTGCTGGAGATGATTTCTACTGCTTTTGCCATTAGGTTTTTCAGTCTAAGCTTTTGGTAAGCAGCAGCAGGTGGCAGTGGGCTGCAGTTTCTGCAGACTGCCAACATCCTGCAACTAATGTCTCTGGTCAGTGCCATAGCTGAGGCCATTAAAGGCTGTGTTTGAAAGAGATGGAGGGTTCCTCACCCATGAGCTGGTGCGTACTCCCTCACTGTAGAGGAACATTGCAAAATGCAGACAAATGAGCAAAGCTGCTCTAAATCACAGCTTTCAGCAGGTTTGCTTGTCTGCCTTCCAGCCAGAAGGAACGGTGTATGGGTAGCCGTGCTGTTCCTGTGGAAGGAGCATCCATGTGCCTGCACAGTGGCCACAAGGAGTGCAGGTAAGGCCCCAGGCTCCACCATGCCCTCGCATCAGTGGGAAAAGCCAAAAACTCTCCTCTGGCATATCAATATGCTCTTTTTTTTTTTTTTTGCTGTGTATTCAACCAGAACAATACAGAGGGGCCCAGATGGAAGCCCCTCTGGATCCTCTCTGAGGATGGCTGACTTCAAAGGCTCTCCATCCTCTGTGAAATCTCTGCTTTTAGAAGCAAGCAGAACGCCCAGCTCCCATTCCTGCACAGCTTTTCTCTGCAGAACCTTTAAACCTGCTGTGAGGTGGGAACTTTTCTCTAAAGCTAAAGAATGAAAGGGAAAAAAAGAAGAAAAAAAAAAAACCCAAAGCGTTTTTTTTGCTAGATCTGACCCGACGTGCTGAGCACTGAGGCTGTGATGGATCTTAATGCTGAGTTATTTGCAGCTCGGTGGCTGGCAGGCATCTGTGAAGTCGTCTCATTCTGAGAATGGGCCTGTAAAACAGGTTTGGGATGAAGGATCCCCTTTCAAAATGAAGGACTGTCTGAAAGGGGGGGGGGGTCTGGTGCTGCTGATGAATCAAGCTGACCAGAGGGGTTTATGTGAGCGTCCAGACTGCAATTGACAGCTCTCTCTTTTCAGTGGTGTGGTTATTACACACTTTTTTATTGGCTGTTTCTTGTGCTGGTTCTGGTGGAGGTGTTAGTTTTGCTTTAAATCTGTAGCAGGAAATTCATGCAAAGTGGAGCTGGGGTACAACAGGCAAATACCAATGGGTGGAAACTTAGAAAAAATACCTCCATCTCCCACTGCAAGTTGTCTCTGTCTGACCTCCTGTGCAACACAGCACGAAGGGGATGAGGGGCTCCCAGCCTGGTTCTGTGACACGGCAGATGCTGCTGTGCTCTCCCTTTGCCTCGCAGAAATCCCAAGCTTCCCACTGCTTCCCTAAATGCCCTAACCAATAGGCGTCTGCATACTGCCTTGCTTGCATTCCTCTTCTCTTAAGCTCACTGTCTGCAAGATGCAGCAGTTACCTCATTCCGTGGAAGGCTCTTCAACTGGCCCTCTGTTTCCCACCAGCACAATGCATCAGCTTTCCCACCTCCAGGCCTATAGAGGGGAGAAACTCATGGAAGGGGCTGTAAACTGCATTCATTCTACAGTATGGAAGGAACAGGAGCATAACACACCTTACTGCATAACAGCTACCCTGTGGCTGTTGAGCGCCAGGTGATGCCATGGCAGCAGGGATGGGGTTGGGGTTGACCTGGTGTGGATGGGGTTGCCCCAGTGTGGGGTTTTTGCTCACTCTTTCTACAGAGGCCAGCAGCACCAGGCACACTTTGCCACTCCACCAGTTTGTGGTCATGTTCCAGCTCAGTTGATTTGCAAGACTTGAAAAGAAGAGGTGGTGCACACAAGGGACCTGGCAGTGCTCATCCCTCCCTGTGGTTCCTGCTAAGGCTCCGCCAATGGAGAATGGATCAGGGCTAGGAATAAACATTTATAAGCAACAGCTATCCTGTTAATTGTTTTTGTCTGAATGAATACTCCCTCAAGTTACAACACGATCAAGACTCCTTGTCAGGAGAAACTTGCACATGTGTGTGATTCACTGATAAAGCCCTAAATCCTCCAGGCTTAGCAGCAGCAGAATCAGCACAGGGCAAGCACAGACCTTACCAGAACAGCACGAACGCTCTGGGAGATAAATCAAACACCATTTAAATCCTAGGTGAAGATTCCTCCACCCAAATCTGCTTGTTTATGTACAAGCAAGGTGTTGTAGATTCATCCAAATATAGGGAGAAGCTTTGGCCGGCTTTGGTTCTTCAAGGGAGCTTTCTCAATGGAAATGGCTGAGAGGAATTGGACAACCTGACGCGGGTTTATGAAGGTTAGGCATACACTGTGTAATCTTTAAGAGCCAACATCAAAACACAAGACCAAGCAATCATGAAACAAACAGCAGATAGCAATCCCTGCAGGAATTTCTTTGAGAGACCGTCTGAGACATGAGAGAAGCTTTGTCTGGTTCCAGTCAGGCTGCAAGGTGAAGATGGCATTGCAAGAGAATACCAAAAACTGTGCAAGGAACGACAGAGAAGCTCTAAAGAAGATGTTCCTCCAGCATTATGAGTGAAACCTTCTTAGCACTGCAAATTGTTCTTCTGGATTACGTGTAACTCAAGAATTTCCAACAGCGGGAACTTGTACGTGCCTGTTCACCACATCAGAGCTCTTGGGCTGTGATTAAGGCTGGGATCCAGCAGGTCTGGGTGCCCTTCCAGCTCCTGCCATGGGCTGGCTGTAATTCTAAGCAAATGGTTTTATGTGACCGCTTTATGGGTCTCCTTTCTGTCATCTCTCTCCTGCCTTGTCTGGAGGCTGGCCTCCAGCCTGAGGTATGTTTTTACAGGGCTGAATGTGATGGGACCCTGACATTCACTGGAGCAAGTGGGATAATTGCGTATCCACCCAGAAAGCAAACAGAATGAGAATTCAGGCAAACAAAGGCAGAAGACTTTCATTAGAGAGAGCACTGGTTCACATGCCAGTCCCATCTCTTTAGATGTCCATCTTCTGAGACTACTGCAGTAACACTTCAGGGAAAAATTAAGCGTTCTGTGTTTGCACTAAGTTTTTTTTTTCTTCATCTAAGCTTCAAAAGACTTTTTCCCACAGGTGGGGCTCAACATCATTATCTCCACAACAGAAAAGACAAACAAGAAGGCAGAAGCTCACACCAGGGAGCTGAGATCACAGTTTTCTGTTGTAACCACAACCTTGAGCAGCACTCATCTGTGTGCCCATGTTCAGGAGGTCCTGAACTTTGCAGCATTGTACAAAGACAACTTGAAAACTGAGCATATGGGGCTTTAGTTCAGCTCCTGCTGAAAGCCGGTGCTGTGATCAGGTTGGGTTCTGTGCCCAACCAAACACAGTCTGCTGCACCACACCACGGATGTGCTTCTATAAGAAGCTGTCTGTAGACAGTCTCAACACAAGCAGAGCCTTGGCAACATCAGTCCTCCACTAAACCCTTCCCAACCACCTCCCTTGCATCGCAGGATTATATTGCAGCCATGATTTTAGGAGAGACCATAGGATAGAGGGGAAAAAGGCCCTGGAGTGACACTGAGTTCCACGATTGAGAAAAAAAGCAATTAGAGAAGCGTTATATTACCTCTTTTCCTGCTTTCTCGATCTCCACCGTCACCGTGCTGTGGTTCTTGTGCTCCTGGAACATGCAGAGGTAGCAGATGCACATCTGGTCTGTCTGACAGAACAGCTCCATGGTCTTCCCATGCACAGGGCATTTTCTTGCTTCGAAGTCCCTGATGGGGTCGAGGAGCTGATGGTCCCGGAAAGCTGCTCCCTCCAGGTGGGGTTTGAGGTGCAGCTCGCAGAAGGAAGCCTGGCACACCAAACACGACTTGACGGCCTTCTGCTTGTTATCAATGCAGGAATCGCACAGCACATCCTCCAGCTTCACCCTGGGCCGGGAGCCAGCTGCTCTGTCAGGCACTTTGTTGAAGGTGGGTCTTCTCAGGTCTCCCGTCTCTACCAGAGGCAGGGATGGTTTCTTCATGTCCCCTATCTGCCCGCTGGAGAACAAGGGCTTCCTCCCTTCCCCTTCATTAGGCAAGAAGCTCTTTTTGGAATCCAAGGAGAAGAGGGACTTCCTGAGGTCGCCCTTGTCTGCAAAGGAGAGCGGAGTTCTCCTCATGTCTCCTATCTGTCCGCTGGCAAATGGCATCTTCTTGGAGTCTGCTGAGTCCATGCTGAAGTAGGTCGATCTCTTCTCATCGGACGACTCCACAAACTGAATGATGGGCCTCTTCCAGTCACTCCCAGAGAAGAGGGAGCTCTTGATTTGTCCGGTCTCCAGGGAGGTACCGCCAGTGCCCTTTATTGGCTCTTTCTCGCCTCCGCCAGGATTCGTCGTCTTCTTCACTTCTTCATCCTTTTTGGGGGCGGATGGACTCTTCACATCCTCTGGCTTCCCAGCAGTGCCATTTGTCCTTGCTGCGCTCCCTGTTTCCATTCTCTAACCGGGGCGGGTTGGTTTCTTGGCTCCTCTGCTCTGTCCTGTCCCCCCGTGCTGTCCCCCGACCCCTGGAAGCAGCTGTGGCCGTGTGCCTGCCTGCTGGCCGTCCCAGTGAGGAATGACGGGGGAATGTGGGGCAGCTGCTGCCTAAGTGACGCACCTGGAGCTCTTGCAAGGAGGAGGAGATGAGCTCTGGATAATGCTAGGTAGAGGCAGGGGGAAAGCAGGAAAGAAAGGAACAGACGTTACCAGGGATCAGAAGCCACAGCTGTGCAGTTAATTATACAAGGCGGTCCACACCCAGGAACATTCTTGTCTAACCAGGTTTGGGAGGAAGGGCTGTTTATATACGTAGAAATGCTCAGGAAAAAAAAAAAATCATTTTCATTAAGATGCAGTAACCAGTTCGACCGCTTGTTTCAAAAATAATTTTGCTCGTTGTTGCCAGGAGCTGAGGTTACCTCCTTGCTGAGACGGGCAGGGTCAGAGAGACCATGGGATGCTGAGGATGGGTTTGTTAACTGGGTCATACACATGCACAGAAATAATTATGGTCGTCATTAAAATGAACGCCTAGAATAAAGCATTCTTAAACTGGGTTCCCCCGAGGGCTTGCTGTATTCAGTAGAACAGGGAGGGGAAACATGGGGATAATACCGGGTTTAAAAGACCCCTATTATCTTTATTTTGATGCTGATGTTGGGTTTGTGCGAGATCCATCTATCTACAACTGGAAATAAGCAATGCACACATTAGAAGAACGCAGCTGACCCAAAATAAAAATCAGCAAGAGTTGTGTTTTCCTGCAGGCCGTGCGAACCCTACTTACATGACTAATGGAAGAGCTCCCACCACCCATTTCATTGCACGTTCTCAGTGAAACACAGGTTCAAGTGTTCCTTCTGCAGTTCCTCCCATAAACCGTGCACTGAACTGAGAGACAGATCTGAAAGATTAAGCATTTTGCAGATAGATGGCCAAAATGCTTCTTGCAAGAAGAAAGAACTGCAGAAGGGTTTTAAAAATACGTATTTCTCTCTCCATTAGCCATATTCCTGGAATGATCGGCTCTTTTATCCAAAAGAAACATATTCAAGTGTTGTATCAAGCAACTTTGGTAGTTTTCCTTCCTCTCTTCCCTGGCTTTCCCTTCATTTTCCATTTCCCTGACTGGCAATGAGAGGGCAGAGCGGAAGGGAGAAACAGCAAAATTATTTCAAAGCTCATGAAATGCTCCTTTCATTAAGGGAAAGGAAAAAAAAAAAGACAAGTCCACACCCCATAATGGTTTTTATTCAGCCAACTGGAATGACTGATTTCAGAAGAAAAAGGCCCTTTATCAGCGCTGCTGAATTCCATCAAGTTCAAAAGAAGGAGGTGGACCCTACACTCATTTCATATCGATGTAACATAGATTATACTCTGAACTTCAGTGAGATTGCTCTGAGATTAACATGCAGGCTGTAAATTAACCCAGCCCGGTATCTGATTTGTGCCTAATTTCATTTTTGCAGGGTAGAATGGTGTCACCGGTTGAGAATGTGATTATTATTATTTTTTTTTGCTGTAATCATTTCTCATTGGGAATCCATAGCAAAACCACTATTGGAAGAGTGCTGAGCAGCAGAGGAAGAATCCAGGTCTGTGTTTTGCAGCTCTCTTTTAGGTGTGGAGGAAATGGAGGTGCAGCCCCAACAGGAACAGCCTGCATTTTGGATCTGATAGGAGATACCCAGGAAGCGCCTGTCTTATAGATAAGGTTAATAAGGGCTTTGACCGTGCAAAAAGGAGAGGAAAGGGAAGAGGAACAAAAAAATTATTCAGCTGAACTGCACTTGGAACCTTATTCATCCCTTTTTACTGCATGTGTGTATTTATGGCTCTCCACATGTGAGGAATAATTGGGTATATGCTGTTGGTTTGGGGTAACAGTTGATGGGAAAGGCCCCATTTTGAAGCCCTTTCCAATGGGCAGCTCGTTGTCAGAGGGACCACAGTGTTTCTTGACTCAGAAGCCACTCTCTGACATAGGAAAGGGCAACTCTATTTTTAAAGAACGAATCTCCTAAAAGCAGGAGGTTGGCTGACACGCTTGCATTTCTTCCTCCTTGGCTTCTCAGGCTGAGCTGATCTTTATAACATCAACAGCCCTGTAGATCTCCAAGTAATTAAAAATACTGGAGGGTGGAGGCTCCTGTTCTCATGTGTACAGAGAAGGCTCAGCAGGGCTTTTCTGAGCCAGAATTAATCGTTAAGAAACAAATAGTATCTCTATGAAGAGATCTGGCTTACAAGAGGAACGCCTTGGTTTCTCTCGGCTTCCCGACTCTGTGTGAAGATTCTGGATGAGGTATGGCGGAAAAAAAGAGAAGGGCTGAACTTCTCCATCATGGTGAAATCAATGAGTTTAATGCAGTTCTTCCAGGCAGGCTCAGGATGAGGTTTGTTATCAGTTTTTCGCTCCATGCAGAGATGCCCATCATCTGCAGCAAGCAAGCATGGGTATCCCTACGGTGCACAAGGGAATGCTCCCTCTGCAATGCGACTTTCACCAGATCCACTTCAACCCCAGCTCTATCCACAGCATCCCACATGCCTGGCATTGGTGCCTCAGGCACGTTTTGCCTGTAAATACCTGTGAAACCACGGCAGGCCCATGTTTGACCAAGGACAGCTCGGTGCATCTCTGCCATGCAAACTGCAGCCCAAGGCCAAGCCCGCTCTTTTCCCCATCATCTCTCTGCACCTCATCACACCTCCTTGTGGCTTTTTGTTTGGGTTTTGGGTGTTTTTGTTTTTGTTTTTGCATGCGAAGAAATTGCTCACGGATGGGACCCATCTCTCCTTTGTTATTTCTGGCTTATGCTGGAAAATCATTTTCACGCCTGCCTGAAGTTTGAGGGGTGCAGAGTGGCATTCAAGGGAGAGCAGGAGGGCTGTTGGGGGCACAAGGGCAGCTTGGGAGTTAAAGGACACTCCATCAGAGGATTAAGGATAGCTTGGGAGTTGAGGTTTGCTCCGTCAAACACTTTGTGCTTTGCTTCCCAAAGCGTTTGGAACACTTGCACACACACACCTCTATTTCACGCAATCAGGCATCACATACAGAGCGGCCCTCTCCATATTTGCACTTCCCAGAGGGTGGCTCCTGATTTCTCTCGCATGCATGCAGCAGCAATGAGTTTTGCACCGACCATCCCTCCGTGTCCTGCAGAGGATCACTGCCTGCTATGTGCTGCACTGCATCGGGCTGCTCACACAGTGCCCATGTCTGCGCCTCTGACTCACTGCATCCACCCACATTTGGCATCCGCAGCGCCTTTCATCTGCACAACTCGGAGCCCTTTTCAAAGGTTCACAAATTAAACTCGACAACACCTTTGCAAAATAGGTCGGGGTGGCCAACCCTGCGGAGCAATTAGGGGAACTGAGGCATGTGCAGTTGAACCGGCCCAAATTTTTTTTCGGGGAAACTGAAATGTGTTTTTCTGACATTGCTTTTTGCCTCCTCGCTCAACTCTCCTTATGTTTAGCAACTGGGACACCTAAATCCTCTTTTTGTTTGTTTGCTTTTTATTATGTTTCCCGATCCTTTTGTCCTTGTTTTCCATTTCGTTCCTTCTGCTGTGTGTACCCTGGTAGATCTGGGTGGTTTGTTGCTTGTGCTGAAGATTTTCTGCTGTGCAATGGCTACACAACCACCATCAGGAGTAGATACTGACAAAGAAGATCTCCCAAGGATGGAGAAAATGATAAAAAATGGGTTCATGTCAACCTAAATAGAACAGAAACAGTTACGCCAACCCCGAGGCACTCCTTTAGACGGCTCTGGAGCAGGGTTTCAAACATCGATGTCAGATGAAGTCACAGAGAGCCATGAGAATTGGATCACCTGTGATTCACCAGCCCCAGTTCTCACAGCAGATCCGGCCAAAGGAGGAGCAGGGAGCCTGCCTGTTATTTGCACTGCGCAGGGATCCCTTTTACATCCAACATATACCTTCTGCTTTGCATAAGATAAACCCACAGCTCAGGAAATGCAGTGCTGGAGTGCACACGGGTTGTCCCTGCTGCAAGGAAGTCCAGGACACTGACCCATCAGATGCGAGCCACCACCAAATGGGCATTTAGCAGTCCCTGGTGCAGCAGCAGAGCGGGTTCAGGGCTTCGTGCTGCTTTCACATGCATCAGATCGGCAGTGACACACTGATAGATCAGGATTGCTGCCCTGACACAGAGCAAATAATGCTACAGGTGTGCATAAAGCTGAGCTGTCCGTGTGCTCAGAACTGAGACCGACATGAGATAATCTCAGTTTATATGGCCTGAGTTGAGATATTTGTGAAAATTCTGGCTTGCTGCTTCCATGTAATCATCTGTGTGTGTCATGGGTGTTGGAGGGAAGAAAAGTTTGGAGGACCCAGGGCTCTGAGGGTGCATTGTCACCTTATGGGCATGCTGAGACAAGAGCTAGGAGATGCAAAGAGAGATTTTTAGGGCACCTGAAATAGAATCAGGTTGGAGAAGACCTCAATGACCCCCGAGCCCAACCCATCCCACGATGCCCATCACCGCATCCCTCGGTGCCACATCCCCACGGATCTCTAACACCTCCAGGGACGGTGACCTCCCCCACCTCCCTGGTCAGCTGTGCCAACGCCTCAGCAACATCTCCTCCATGCAGACCAGACACAGGGCTCAAAGCAGGCCCGCAGGCTATGAGCTGGACCTTGGGGAATCTTAATTACAAGCAGGACACGAACGCCCGTTGTGCAACAGCGATACTTGGGGAGCGTGTGGCACAGTGGTGACTCAGCAGAGCAGGAGGCTGCGGGGTGAGGACATGGAGGATGTGCGGTGCCAGGGGGAGGACCCCTTTCTAGTGGTTATGCTGAGTCCTCATCTCCGAAAAGGCTGAAGGGAAGATGACTACTCAGCAGCAAACTCATGCAGAGGACAGGAAAGGGAATACCGGCTGAAGACGGAAATCTGTTTGA